TAATCAACTCATCTAATGTTTCATTGCCACTAGTCCATCCTTCAGTTAATAGCTTTGGATCACATGATCGACACCATAAATAATAAGTATTATATCTATTGCAGGTTGGACATTCCCCATATTTTTCATTTCTTTTATCAGAATATTCATCATTTTTGTTAGTAGAAGTATTGTCGTGATGCTTATTTTTATTTAAAGTGTTTCCCATTGTGGTTTTTTATTATATTTGTCAAAAGAAATTTTTTTCTTAAGAACTTTTTTTTCAGCCACAAATATGTATCACAAAATAGATTTTTCTATCTGAATTACAATAATTCAGCATTACATAATAAATTCGACATGATACCCTAAAGTCATTAAAGCCATAAACCGTATATTGCGAGCATGCGATTTGAATTACGGAGTCACCAAATTTGGCAAACTAGATTAAATCACTATATACAACTATACTACTTGATTAGGGTTTCTATTCTAATTATGAATTTGAGTATTCGAATTAAATTGAAGTTCGTTCAAATAAAAATGAATAACGGTAATTCAATAATTCAAATAAGACGAATAGTTCGAATAAAACGAATAAACGAATAATTCGAATAAACAAAATAACTCGAATAGTTTGAATAAAACAATAAATGAATAATTCGAGTAAAACGAATGATTCGAATATTTCAAATAAAACGAATAAACGAATAGTTCGAATAAAACCAATGAACGAATAATTCGAATAGTTCGAATAAAATGAATAAAAGAATAGTTCGAAATAAAGTGAATAATAATTCGAATTGTTCGAAATAATAATAATTCAATTAAAACGAGTAATTCGAATAAAACGAATGGTACGAATAAAAGGAATAAACAAATAATTCGAGTAATAATTCGAATAAACGAATAATTCGAACAAACAATTTGAATAACGAACGATAACAATTCGAATAATAAACAAAGGACAACAACTCGAATAATAAACGAATGATAACAATTCGAATAATAAACGAATAATAAGAATTCAAAAAACGAATGATGACAATTTGATAATAAACGAATAATTTGAATAGTTTGAACAAAAATTTGTATTACGAATAGAAACTCCGCTCTATTACAGAGTCACACAGTAATGTTCAAACTAAACTAAAATCACCATATACAACTACACTACTTGAGGCGTCCCTACAAGAAATATAGTAAAACTAATGAAAGGGGTTCCTAACTAATAATTAAATGTTGGTCAAACCATTAATCATCAGAAAGGGATCAATCAATTATGCCAGATTTATTAATTACAGTCAAGGACTATTTTTATTACCAAAGTGTTATTATTGAAAGATCAATTATTTATTTTTGTTGATTAATTTTTTTTCACTGAAGGAGATTTCAAGCATATTTATACTTCTTCAAGTATTACAAATAGCCAATAAATAAAATAAAATAAAATGATAATGATTAATTGACAATTACTAATGTTAAATGTTAAAAATGCATCATTGATGATGATGTCATGATTAAATGATACCTGATGAAATCTTTTTGCAATTCCATTCAATTCATTAATGGTATAGAAGACTTTGATGAACCTTTTTTTGAAATCAACACAGCTTTAATAGGACAGGTTTCTGGATTATTTTTGCAGGAAAATCAATTTAGATCCCGAACTAGAGATAAATCTGTTTTTGCTTTTATTTGTCAGATCAACTAACTTCTTTTACTTACCAAAAATTATGCTATTGATCCAGAATTAAAAGATTACAACAATTATGATTCTTAATATTTGTAGTCCTACTCTAAGCCTAGAATCAACATCATCAAACCCATCATCTTAAATACTGTTAGTTCTCAAACTCACGCTAAAAAATAATTAATTTGTAAAAAAACGAGTGTTGCTTGAAAGTATTTCTTTAAATTAACCTGTCAGAAGTTCAAGATGCTCAAAATCTTAATGATGAATCTAACTCATAACAGCAAGGATTACATGATTAGAATATGAAAATGCAATAACTCAAACATTAGTAAACATTTGGATGAAATTGATAGATATTTAGATATGACAATAACACCAGTTCCTGATGAAAATATTAATGCGGAATGCCGCGGGAATTACGGAATGTGTATTTAAAAAGAGAAAATACTATGTTGTTGTTGTTGTTGTTGTTATACAACAACAATGTAGCCACCCGAAGGGTCCATTATTACCATTATTTTTATTGATTTTCAATCATCTTTCGAGATTCATTTTTTGTTGAGAGAAGTGAAGGCAGCAATCCTATCTTTCCAGACTTGTTCAGCCTTTTAATCAAATAATTCTTGTCAATTTTTTGGTAAATACTATGTATGGAATTGGTTATTGTAGTGATGTTAGCCGGCCAAAAAAAAATTTCTCTTGACGTCTGGAGTTTCAATTCTGAATTCAATGGGATAGACATTTAGTTGATGTGGGTTCATCTGCATTACTTAGAATGACAAAAAACATACGTTTGTTCAAAAACAAATACAATACTCATAGCAGGATAAAAATAATAGAGTTTCTATTCGTAACAGCAATATAAATACTTATTTTAATTCGTTTTTTTATTCGAATAAACTTTCTATGTAATTTGAATACTCAAATTCATAGTAATTCGAACAATCCTTATTCGAACCATTAAATAGTAATAAAAGATATTATAATAACAATAGTAATAATAATTATAGTGGTAATAACGATAATACCACCCGAAACGTTTTTTCATTTCGACTTTTAATTCGATTTTTGACCTCTCAGGTCGAAATGTTTCGACTTTTGGGTTGTAATTTCGACTTCATGTATAATCTGACCACCTTATGTAATCCTTATCAATATATAATATAGGATAAAAGTTTTTTTGAAACATTAATTACAAATTAATCCTCGCATATAGTGTTGTAATTGAGTTAAAATCACTATTAAAATTCAACTCCAGTGTTGAACGTTAGCGATATCCATCTTTTTACATCCTTCATTTTAAAATATTTTGTTGAGAGAATTAATTTGTAGACGCACCTAATAAAATCATTATATATCACCCAACATCAATATAAATTTATATATTATAACAAAGGTTATCACGATGACATTTTTATGATGTTGCTTTTTTCTTACTTCTTACTTGCACTTGAAGAAGTTCAAGCGGCAAAAAAACAATTTGAAATATATTGGTGTAAATGGTGATGGTCGTCGGATTGGTTGTTTGGTTTATTTTTATTAAAATATTTTTCATTGGATTATTTATGTTTTTTCAGTAGTTTCAATTAACAAACGCTTTTCAGTTAAACAACACCATTAGTACAATTAGCACTTTATTAAACAATTGTTCCATATCTTTTTATATTATGAAAGAAAGTGATTATCAAACTTACAAATGACAAATTTAAACAAGAGATTAAAACTCAAAAAGAATCATTGAATTAGCGAGGTAATGCTTGATAAGAAGAAAGCCAAGTGAACAAATTAAAAAGCAAAAGATAAGGAAAGCAAATGGTAGTACAAAATGTGATGTAATGCGAACCAATACTAAATTTGCCAAGTTTTGATCTCTTTTTGTTCATTCTCACTTATCTATATTAATATTAATATCTATTAATATTATACACAAAATAAAAAAAAAAATTTATTACTTCAAAATTTAAATCATTTAGATCAAAATGTGTGGTATATTCGCATATTCCAATTATTTATTAGCAAAAGACAGAAAAGAAATAATTGATACACTTATCAGTGGCTTGGCTCGTCTGGAGTATCGTGGGTATGACTCAGCAGGGCTAGCAGTAGATGCCGATGATCCTAACGAAGTCTTAGTGTATAAGCAAGTTGGAAAAGTTGGTGCTTTAAAAAAATTTGCTTCAGAGCAACAAGTTGATTTTGAAAAACAATTTGTAAATCATTGTGGTATGGCTCATACTCGTTGGGCTACTCACGGTGAACCCTCTACAACAAACTCTCATCCTCACAGATCTGATGTAAAGGGTGAATTCACCGTAGTTCATAATGGTATCATTACAAATTACAAAGAACTTAAATTAGTTCTTGAAAAAAAAGGTTACAAGTTTGAATCTGAAACTGACACTGAAGCTGTTGCAAAACTCGCTAAATATTTATATGATTCTCAAAAGGCTAATCAAAATTTAAGTTTTACTTCTCTTGTTAAAGGTGTAATTAAAGAATTGGTATTTATCATCATTATCATCATTCTTGTTTATTTTTTGGGGTGAAAAAAACTTTTTTATTTATTATTATTTATGGAATAAATTTATATTTATGTAGGAAGGAGCATTCGCTTTAATCTTTAAAAGTGTTCATTTTCCAAATGAAATAGTTGCAACACGTCGTGGGTCTCCTCTTTTGATTGGTGTAAAAACGGAAAAAAAATTAAAAGTTGATTTTGTTGACGTTGAATTTGGAACAGGTATTAATCATTCTTGATTAATCAATTAATTATTATTGTCTATTATTATTAATTACACATATTATAATATATATATATATATATTCATCACTAATTATTTTGCATAAAACTAATAGATGACAAAGTTGTTGATACCAATTTATTAACAGCTCCAACTGATGGTCATCCTAAACTCAGACGTAGTCAATCACGTGCTTTTCTTAGTGAAGATGGTTTCCCTCAACCAATTGAATATTTTCTTGCATCTGATCCTTCTGCAATTGTTGAGCATACAAAAAGAGTTCTTTATTTAGAAGATGATGATATAGGACATATGAGTGAAGGAGGTAAAATCATATTTCTATTGTTGTATAAAATACTAGTATGATATAAATTAAATTTTTATTTTTATCTTTTCAATTATTTATTTCATCAATAATAATAAAAATAACAATAATGATGATGATGATGATGATGATGATGATAAATAGAATTACATATTCATCGTTTAAGAAGCGATGATGGAATATCAGCTGTTCGTTCCATTCAAACTTTGGAGATTGAACTTGCAGAGATTATGAAAGGATCCTTTGATCATTTTATGCAAAAGGAAATTTTTGAACAACCTGAATCTGTAGTGAATACTATGCGTGGTCGTGTTAACTTTGATAAGCATGAGGTGACGCTTGGTGGTCTTAAATCCTATCTAGCAACTATTAGACGTTGTAGACGTATAGTTTTCTGTGCATGTGGTACAAGTTATCACTCTTGTGTGGCTGTAGGTGCTATATATCTATCTACCTATAATATATTTGTTTTCGTGTTTTTTTTTTTTTTATGACAATATGCATATAGTTTATTAGATACATAATAATCATTATTAACCATGTGTTTATTTGTTTCTTTAAAAAAATTATTATATGATAATAACTAGACACGTGCAATTTTTGAAGAATTAACTGAAATTCCTATTTCTGTGGAATTGGCCAGTGATTTCTTGGATAGGAAAACTCCAATCTTTAGAGACGATGTTTGTGTATTTGTTTCACAGTCCGGTGAAACTGCTGACACAATTCTTGCATTAAGATATTGTCTTGAACGTGGAGCTTTATGCTTAGGTATTACAAACACTGTTGGCTCTACCATTTCACGTGAAACACATTGTGGTGTTCATATCAATGCAGGTCCTGAAATCGGTGTTGCTTCTACAAAAGTAATTAAATAATTTAACAATCTCCATTATTATTGGTGTTGCGTGTTTTTCTTATTCTATTAAAAAAAAATTCATGCTTGATAAACCAATAATCTTGTTTTTTTTTTTAGGCTTATACATCCCAATATATTTCATTGGTCATGATGGCCATCCAATTGAGTGAGGACAGATCATCAATGACACAAAGACGCAAAGATATCATTGATGATCTTAGCAAATTACCACAACATATCAGAGAAGTACTTAACCTTGATAAAGGGTTAGAACGACTTGCAAAAGAAGTTTTATACAAGGAAAAAAGTCTTTTAATCATGGGTCGTGGTTATCAACATGCTACATGTCTTGAAGGTGCCTTGAAGATTAAAGAAGTTTCTTATATGCATTCTGAAGGTATTTTGGCCGGTGAATTGAAACATGGTCCTTTAGCACTTATTGATGAGAATATGCCAGTTATTCTTATCATGACGAAAGATTCATTGTATCCAGTAAGTATATCTATATTTATAAAACAAACATTTAATAAAATCACATTATTATTTAACAATTTATTTTAATGATTATTAGAAAGTACAAAGTGCTCTTGAACAAGTATCGGCTCGTAAAGGTCAACCAATCATTATTTGTAATAATGGCGATGATGGAATATCAGATCAATACAAAACAATCCGTGTTCCCAAAACCGTTGATTGTCTACAAGGTCTTCTTACGATCATTCCTTTGCAAATATTGTCATACCATTTAGCTGTTATGAATGGTGTCGATGTAGATTTCCCAAGAAATTTAGCTAAATCTGTAAGTATATCGTTAGTTATTCGACGCGATTTATTAATTAATTGTGTATCATTAACTAAACTAATATATTATTATTAATTTATTTAATTTTTTAGGTAACTGTCGAATAATATGAATAATATATTCTAAAAAAATTTATTTATTTATTTTTCCTCTTGCGACTTTTTTTTTTTGTGACCTTGTATTTTTATTTATTTTTTAAAAATTATTTTCACCCTATTTATTGTCGACTCTAGGAATCATATCTGTTAATAAAATCAATCATACATAAATTACACTACGAGAATAATAATCGTGAATTTCAACTAACTAACAAATGATGATTTGATTGATCACTAAATCATTTATTAAAATAACCCAATGAGCCTAAAACAAATTCTTCGATCACTTTAACGATAATAAGGGGTTTTCTTATCTTTAGAGTATTTGAAACTTGTAATAATCAAATTTACAACATTATGATCAAGAATGGGTTCACAAAATCGTCACTGTTAATGCAGTTTACGATGTGTTGACAACAACAGAGAATTTGGGAACATGATCAATTTATATATAACATACCAAACAAAATCTGAACCATTTATTTTACAGCTTTCTCCTTGATCATGGTGACTATCACAATAAGAATGGGCAGAATTGAACTGCCACCTTTATACTTGTAAGAACATGCTCTCATTGAGCTACACTCTTTTATTGACCTAGGGTGAGTTATATGGGCAAATGCCTCCAACAAGGTCAGTTGGTCAAATAAAAATTAAAAAAAATACAGAAAATTTGGGAATGATTAATTTATAACATACCAAACAAAATCTGAACCATTTTATTTTACAGCTTTCTTCCTAACATCAGAACCCAAATGCGATTTCAGGGTTACCAACCATGCTCTGAATTTCAACCTCCCTGTGCTTAAAATGAGTTGCAGATTCTTGTTGCTTTGATGGTTCTGGATGTTTATGCACACCTAATATCACAGCTTTGCAGAGTTGCGACTTGGTCACAGAGCCATCTTTACCCTAGAGGTAGGATCGTTGCAGCTAACTTTTCATGGCAGCTTCTCTGGTCTGGGTGCTGTGAAGATTAGTGGAAGTGTCCTTGACGATTGATGCAGTTTTGATAAACTCCAAGGCCTTACACCCCCCTGGAAATTTAACAACATCATATTAATATCATCAGGGGCCTTGCAGTCAGATTGGCCTTGTGTACACAAGGAATGTGTGAGAATGACTGTAAAGTGTTCAAGGTAGCGTGCATGCTTCAACTTCTGCTAATTCCCGATAATCAAACATTGCATATTGAAATGTTTCTTTGTCAACAGTGTACTGCCTTGACATCTTGTAATTATAATAATAATATTAATATTGATAATGATTATGCAACGCAAAATACCAATTGTTCATTTGTTATCATCTTGATAAGAATCTTATAATTACCCAGCAAGATTTGCTTCACATTTTGATCCAATTATATATTTGTATCTTATTGATATGCCAATACCTTGATTATTTTTTTTAAAGAATATTGATCGGATATCAGATTCTGAAATTTACTGATACCCCATTACCCAATTTGGCATCATTCAACCAGTAAAAAGAGAACCAATAGATTACATACAAGCAAAGAAAGATGGGACTCTAAACTAGCACAAAAGAATTTTAAATCATGCACAAACATAATAGCTTGATAGCTTGATTGACATGGTACCGCCTTGCAATTTTTTTATTTATTGTATATTTTAAATGTGATTAATCATACGTTTTTAACAAAACAAACATGACTTAACCATTTAATCATTTCCTTGTATGTGAATGCCTCCATCCAACGAATATTCATGATGGTCATGATTATTATTCAATACATTTGATGATGTTATAATTGACATAACAAACAATTGTATCACCTGGGTAGTAATAATACCTTATGAATAATAAATCTGATGTTGATCGCAGGCGTCAGATTTAATTAAAATTTTCCTTCACAAACATGCAAATTAGTGCTTTCACACACCCTCATAATTGTGAAATTTCTCCCACAGTTGAAGGCCATCCATATGTTGGAAGGCTTTGGATAAAACTTTTCCCTATCTTCCTCTCAGACCAGGCTTAGCATTGATCATTGATTGCTTTGTGTTATACCTCTCTCACTAGAATAAAATTGGTGTTAAGACCGATTCAAAATTCTCCAACTCGGGAAATTGCAACCTGGGTTGCTGTTTTGGATTTTTCCTGGTTTCAGAATTTGAGTCCTGGGTTGCTGTCTTGTTTGTGGCATATCTGCTCATCAACAATCCTATTCCATTTATTTAAATAACAAATTCAGTTGGTCAAATAAAAATCAAAGAAACAGAAAATTTGGGAAAATGATTAATTTATACAAAACATCCCAAAAAATCTGAACCATTTTATAACATTTTCTTGTTGGCCATATTGCTGACAAAGATATATATAATTATAATCATGCGATAATTTTAATCTACAGGACAAGGGACTAATTGGGAAAAAACCTCCATTCAGTCCCCTACCCAAAAATTATAAATTGGTTAATATCAGAGAAACGGAGCATTTAGGAAAATGATTATACAAACAAACACTATTTTGCAAATTTCCTCTTAACATCTGAGTCCAAATGCAATTTCAGGGCCACAAACCCTGCTCTGAATTGCAACCTCCCGTGCTTGAAACGAGTTGCAGATTCTCTTAATATTCTTCCAGAGTTGTGACTTGGTCACAGAACCATCCTTACCTAGAGGTAGGATCGTTGCAGACAACTTTTCAGCCAGCATGCCAGTGGCCATCCCTGATCTGGAAAGATTAGTGAAAAACATCCTTGACAATTGATGCAGTCTCAGTAAACCCCAGGGCATCTTTCCCCCTCCCTGGAATTTGGTTGCATCATCATATTATCAGGCGCAAGTCAGATTAGCCTTTTGTACATGAGGAACGTGTGGGAATGACTGTAATGTGTTCAAGGTAGCATGCGTGCTTCAACATCTGCTAATTTCCAATAATCAAACATCGCATATCGAAATGTCTCTTTTTCAACGGCGTGCTGCCTTGACATCTTGTGATTATAATATTATAATTATATATTAATAATGATTATGAAAAGAAAAAATACCAATCGTTTGTTGTTGATAAGGATCTTATAATTACCCAGCCAATGATCTGCTCCGCATTTGATAAAATAATTTTGTCATCTCAAATCTGTGCAACACCAAATAAATAATAATTGTTTTACGTTTTTTTTTTTCAAATTAAAATGTCTGTCTGTCGTTAACAAGCAAAAAATAAAAAATATAGATGAAAAATATGGTGCGAAGAAGGGGTAAGTGTTTAAGGATGGTGGTTATTGTCACTCATTGTCACTCTAGTTAATCAATAATAATACCTATCATTATTCACGTTCTTTTTCTTCTTACAATGTGAACAGTCCTGATAAAAGAAAAGATAAAAAAATTGTTGACTACTTCAAATATAACCCTTCGGGCGTAAAGTCATCAGATAACCAACAAAAAGTTTATGAATTTGTGGTCAATAAACGTTAAAATGTTTTTTTTACCAGTTCTGCTGGAACCGGTAAAAGTTTTCTATATCAAAAATTGTCACAGCTCTTAAAAATATTTATGGAGTCGAAATGATTGCCACAACTGCTACAACTGGCATAGCAGCAGTTAATATTGCTGACACAACTTTACACTCTTTTGCGGGCATAGTACTAGGCACTGGATCAACAAAAGAACTTATTGAAAAAATCAAAAACACATTATTCCCAATGGAGAACTATTGAAGCATTGATTATTGATGAAGGTATAATTAATTTTTTTTAATCTGATTGATGGAAAATAATAATCATCATTATTTGATTATTTATTAATTATTTAATTATTTTATAATTTATATATAGTCTCAATGCTTGATGGGGACTTGTTTGATAAACTGGAAGCAATTGCACAAGCTATTTGTGATAATAATAGACTGTTTGGTGGAATATTATTGAGTTATAATAATGGCATATGTTATATATTGATATTTAATGATTTAATGATTTTTGGAGCAAATATATATTTGTATATTTTATTTATTAGTTAATACTCTCAGATGATTTTTTCCAACTACCACCAGTTTCTAAAGATCGTAATGTTAAATTTTGTTATGAATCAAACTCATGGGCTAAATGTATAAAACACAAGATACAGTTATCAACAGTTTTTAGACAGAAGGAGTCTGGTAAAAGAATAGATATTTATTATTATTATTAATTCATCTATTTAATAAATTGATCTAATTTTTAATTCTAATTATATATAGATTTTATTGGTATGTTAAATGAGATTAGATTGGGCATTGTGACTGAAAAAACATTGGAAATCATGAATAAATTAAATTCATGATATATATAATATACTTTTATAATAATATTTGTTTTTTTTTTGGTTTATTTGTTTGTTAAATTACAAGATACTCAAGGATTGATAAAGTTACTAGTGCAAATCTTGCATTTTTAAGTAAAATTCAAAAAAAATTTTATATATACCATGCCAAAGACTATGAACTGAAAGAAATTGGTCAATTAAAGATGCTTATTAAAGATTGCTTGGCACAAGATAAATTGGAATTAAAATGTGGTATGCAAGTAATGCTTATTAAAAACATCAATAAAGATTTAGTTAATGGGAGTAGAGGTATTATTATTGGTTTTTATTCAAATGTTACTAAAAAAAGTTATTATGATGGCAAAGATGAGATTGTGAAGTTTGACCAGAAAGATGAAATATTGCCAATAGTTAAGTTTGTTGAAAATAGAGAATTGATTATTCGTAAAGCTGAGTGGAAACTAGAAACTGTTGATAATGTTGTATCAGCAAGTAGACAACAAGTAGGTATTTTTGTATTTATATGTATGTGTATAGTTTTTTTTTGTAATATGTATTTATTATATATTTGATGTAATATTAGATTCCTCTTATACTTGCTTGGGCAATTAGTATTCATAAAAGTCTGGGCCAAACACTGGAAAGAGTCAAAATTGATTTGAATTTTGAAAAAGGTATTTATATATATATTTATATGATAATATAATTATTATTATAAATAAATAAAAAAATTTTTTTTGT